TTCCAGCGTCATGGGATCAGGGGGTCGATGAGGGGAGAAGTGACCGCTGGGATCGGCGGGTCCGACCCGTGACCAGTTTGTCAACTAGATCATGGCACTGAGTGCTACATTCTTAAACACCTGCCGGGGCCGTTACTCCACCACCATTCCAATGTCTAATCACCCGGTCGGTGGAGAAGTCCCTCATAATGCCCAACCTAAACCTCCCCCGGCAAAGCTTGAGGCCGTTTCCCTCTCAACCCGCCACTTTTTTACTTGGGAGAAGAGGCCGACCCCCACCTAACTACAACCTCCTTTCAGGTAGTTGTAGGGAGCGATCAGGGCCCCCTGAGCCTTCTCTGCTCCAGGCTGAACACCCCGGGCTCCCTCAGCTGCTCCTCATGAGAGCCGTGCTCCAGACCCTTCACCAGCTCCATTGCCTGCTCTGGACCTGCTCCAACACCTCTATGCCCTTCCCAAACTGATGACATCTGTCTGCCCCTGCATCCTCGCTGGGATCCATCCCAGGCTTCCTGCCCTGGCCACACCCTGGCAGAACCCGTCAGGGCTTTGGCAGGATCTGTGCTGGTTATGCCTAAGGCTGGTGCCTGTAATGCCTGAGACCAGCTGGATCGCAGAGAGAGGGCTAAGGGTCTTCTGACATAGTCACATAGCAATTTGTCCTCATTTAGATGTGTTAATATAACACTGTATGAACATGTCCTATACCTTACCAATGGCATGACCCTGTCACTTTATTGTTCTGTTTCAACACCTGCAGATCAAGTAGGAGACAAAGCTATGCAGGAGGATCCAGGAAAGGGAAGACTGGACACCAGGCTTCCCAAGAGACCTCTTTTGTTAACACAAAGTTGTTACCAGGAAATGGCTTCCGCTTTTCTCAAAATTTACTTCTTTTTCCCAACAGTTCACAGGGTCAGAAGGCAGCTGGGGGTTGCAGCGAGTGGGGAGCTGATGGATCTGAAACAGAAAGCATTAGGGTCAAGCCCCCTGGACGTATCAATCTCTTTTGGGAGTGGTAGATTTAGGAGAAAACTGTTTGAAAAAGTTGTAATTAAAAACAAAAAAAAAAAAGGAACAGAAAAATCAATTTCAGTAACCCGGGAATCAAGTGTGGATGGGTTGCTCTGAGAGAGAATCAATGATGCTGAAGAAATTCTGCCCTGCAATATGAGGCAAGGAAAGCACAGTGGTAGGTCCAGGGTAAAAAGAGATTTTTCCTGCTGAGTTGCTGCTTACTGTGCTGCTGGCACCAGGGAGGTACCGCTGAATAGGTTGGGCAAATCCTGGAGCAACACAAAGAGAAGGCAGAAATAAGATACGTCGACAAGTGTCATCAGAGCTTCCATGGGAAGCCCCAAAGAGCCAGAAGGGGAACATACACAACAGTTGTTTTCTGCTTGTGTTTGTGCCTTTGCAAAGGAATTGTCTGTCAAGAATGACGGCCTCTCGTGCATTGCTAGGAAATGGTGCAAATGTGGAGCTGCATAAACAGAGCTGTGATCTTAGTTCTGTAGGACAGCTCTCCTTAGTTACCATATTCAGAAACCCAATTGTTTTAACATGTAGCAGAACACAAACCCCCAGTCAGTTTTTTTTTAATCCACATAGCTTTATGTTTCTTTTATTAGTTATCACTAATTAGTTGTCACCCTAATTTTGGAGTACAGTAAGCCCCTAAACAGTGGTTGCAGGCAGTTTATACTGTGTCTGAGCTTTACAAGCAGTTGAAACAGCTAAAAAAGTGCTCTGTGTGAAGCAAAAGTAATTTTATTATCTCACAAATAACTAGTTTCAGTTCTTTCTCTTTGAGCGTGGCTTTTTGTAAAAGCCAGCAATAACAAAAAGTAACCCTCCTCCAACATTTTTTTTTTTCTAGAAGGAAAAGGGTTATGAAACCTGATATCCATCTTGGGAAACTTATGACCGACTGGAAATGTTATGAAAGCATTAAATTAAATAGGCCAACCAGGCAAAGCAATACTATTCAGAGACAAGTTTTGTAGAACAAAAGGAATTGTAGCCCAAGACAGTGTACAGATGTGTGTTGCTGACTTTGGTGGGTTAGCTCAGATGCTGAACCCTTTCTCTTGCACTGACGATCACAGCTTACATCTCTTTTGATAGCTGTAGCAGGTGACTACAAAGTGCTTTTCTCTAGTGACCAGACTGAGAAAACTTGAAATTCACAGTGGATGACAGCATGGCATGGAGTTACATCCCAAACCCTAATGCAACCTGAATCTGCAGTTTCGTTCCTCAGGATATGTTGCCAAAACCAAAGATCACAAAGGTGTGCACAGTCATAGATAAATCCAAGTTTAGGCGAATTTATACTCTTTTCAGTTGTAGATTAAAAAGTCTGTTCTACACCTGCAGCTCTGTAAGTGACCACAAATAACAAAGAATCGTGGTGGCAACCATCAGTGACGTGTTAAAGGATATTAAAGGAAGAAAATTCTTTGAAGTGTTTCTGTCTTCACTAAGCATTATTTTTTTTTTTCCATTGGTCTGTGAACTGTTTTCACTCCAGCTGCAGAATTCTAGCTAAATCTGATGTGAAAATAATCTGGAGCTAAATGTGACCTGCATGGAACTGGCATCTTATTCCATCTCTGTTCTGCTGTCCTAACCATCGGCTTCCTATGGATACACAAAACGTATATACAGCTGTTGTTCAGCAAAATCTCCTTCAAAGTGATCCAGCTGCAAAAGGGTGTTGAAGTCCCAAGGGCTCTAAGTCCTGCCCTAAATCAAGGCTGGCACTCTGACATCTGTTTGGCAGGAGCTGATTCTGCTGCAGATAGGCTCTCCATTGAGAAATGTGTGGGAAAACATTGACACACTGTGGCCAGACAGATAAAGTGCAATTTCTGAAATTTCATGAGGTTTCCTTGCTTTTGTCAGTTTTATCAGACAGAAAGGTAGTAAAGATCAGTTTGTAGCTTTTATTCTTGTTGATAATTTCCATTATTTTTTCAGTCAATTTCCTTTATTGGTAGAAAATGTCCTAAACATGCAAGCTTAGGCAAAAACTGTAAACAAATTGTAAAACAAAACCTTACATCCCTTGAATCTGAGGAGCACGGAGAGTGAGACTCCACTATTGCTTTGGAGCCTGGCAAGCTGTGCAAAGCACATTTTCAGGTGCATGCTTACATTGTCGTTTTAATTACTATTTCTTCCTGTGGAACTGGAACAAGGCAAGGCTGCCTTAAGGGGAACTGGATTTGTGTATTGCAAAGCAGAATTTCCTCCAGACTAATCTGGAGAGATGAACTTCATCAGCATACCCCCAAGGTATAATTTTTATGTCCCAGAGAATTAACAGATAAGGTATTACCTGTATTATATTTAGTGCAGGTAGGCAGTATGGTTAAGCATCATTAGATGGTCTCTGTAGGGCTTCCTCTTCATAACAGCCGAAGGAATACTAAAACACAAAAAAAGCTAGACCTTAGTTCATGGCTTTTACAAATTCAGGAGCAAATACTAGGATACGGGAGAGGATGGAGTAAAAGCCTCTTTTTGGCACATCTAACATGGATATTCTTGTAAGTGTACCGATATTTGCTCTTTTTTTCCCCCACTACAAACATTAAGAATAATGAAGAATTGAGATTAAAGCCTGTATTTTAACTAGTTTCTAAGGTGAAAATGGCGTATATGCAGTATGTAGCATAGATGAGTGTATGACCTAAGCTGGGACAGAGACCAACTGTAAGAAGAAGAGCTAAGGAATAGTTTCAGGAAAGAGAGTGATGGTGTCAGGATAGGCAAGGATGCCAAAGAACCTTAGTTTTGAATTGCCATGAGGAGATAAAGCTAAGATGTTAGGGGTCAACGAGGAAGAAATCTGCAAAGCAGTCTGTGAATTTAAGACATAAGTGGCACAGACAGAAGAATACAGAGCATTGCCAATTTATATGGAAAAAAATAAAACTATTTGGGCAGCACTTGAAAAAATGAGTCTACAGAGAGGACCTGCATCCTGGTAAAATTCTAAACAGCTTCGGAAATAAAAGTTCAGAGACTGGAGTAACAATATTTATGAAAAATATTCTACAGTCATATACAAAAGACATAGTAATTCCAACAGAAATCAGAACAAGGCAAGTACTTCTCCTTTCCTCGTCAGCTGTTGCAGCACCTTCCAGCTAAGGGATGAGATCATGAGGGGAAAAAAAATCTTTGCTCTTTGCTATGTTTCTCCACATCTACCTTGCTGTTGGGAGCCCCCGGTGGTGTAGAGGAAAACACACTGCACTGTCACTGCAGAGACCCGGGTTCGATTCCCGGTCGGGGCCCCTCCCCGGGCAGATGGAGCTCGTTAGCCCTGTAAGGCAATCCATCTACGTCCTGAGGACCTCACTGCCACCGTCCAAGCGTGCTTGGCCCCGGCAGATGAACCTCAGGATT